ACATAGCAGCTCATCACCAACGGTACTTCCAGTTCCAGGACAACACCCTTTTCTGGACTCTGCAGGCACCAGAGCAGTGCACAGGAATATATACAGACAAACACCCATGACATAAAATGAAATAATAGTAATGTTACAGATTCAAAATGAATTTGTCCTGCATTATTCCATTTGAGCCTGTCAGTCAGAGCTGGGAGTGGCAGAATACACCTGGAGCACTTAGAAAACGAAGGGAATCCCTAGTTCAATATTATCCCTGGCTATACCAAGTTTGAGGCCAGTGTGGGCCACATGAGGACCTGTCTTGACAAACCTACACAAAGAACAAATGAGAACACGTCCTCTCCCCTGCCCCACTGCATATGCACTTGCTCACTGAGCCACACCTGAGTTGGGTACCTATTTTCCAAGTATCTGAGAACAAGACTGATAGGTTATCCATACCTTCACCTTCTGCACTTTTTTGACCCTAGCCACCTAAGGTGATTGTTTAACAAAGATCATTCTGACCCAGGTGCTCCCTTAGAAAGAAATTTCCAGAACCAATATGCCACTTTTTAGAAACCCTTTAAGTTACAAAGAAATATAATGCAATATATATTATTAGCCTCCTTACCCAAAATCCATCCCAAGTGGAATCCATTAGTTTTCCAACCTCATAAAACACAGCCAACTGGAGAAGTGCACACAAAGCATCTAACATAAAAACGAAGAATCTCCAGGCTAGGCAGAGCCAGACTATTAAAATTTATAGTCACAGGTAAAAACAAAATGAAATGAAGTGATACAATCTACCTCTTAGAAACTCAAGATAGACATTCAAGATGACCATGGTTCAAAAAGAGTACTGGCGAGTATCATGATGTAGCAAGGCCTGCAGTGCTTGGCATTGTCTTAAGTGGGCATCAGTCAAGTTAACCAGGAATACCAAAAAAGAAAAAAAAAGGCAAGTAGAGAGGCCGTAACTTGGCAATTCCAGTTGCAAGCCACCCAGAACACAAGCTGGTGTTTTTGTTTGCCAACTCCAGTATCCATAGCTCTGACTGTAAACTGTTTCATGACTTAGGACCTACACAGTTATTTTAATAAATCTATTTCTGGAGCTAGAGTGGGTCTGGTACTTGCAACCTAAGGAGACCAAATTGAAAGCATAAGATATTATTTCTGAGCTGAAATAATACCATGCACTCAGGAGGCCATTTGTATGCTATCATGCTAAGCAATAGCATAAAAATGGCATGGAGAAGTTAGCATGGCTGAGGAAGTCAACTTTTGTAACAAAGCAAAGATTTAAGTTTGTATCTTTGAAACACTCTCATCAGAATTTTCCATTTGATTGTCTGCCTCCTTTTACAAAGAAAGGAGTGAAAGGGTCACCATGGAAGGCTCCTCCCAAGGATAATAGGACTCACTTTACAGCACTAATTCTAGCATTCACTCCGGAGTCTATAATTCACAGATGTATAAAAGGAAAAACTAATGTGCAGAATAAGCCACAAGGAGGTGTGCTTAAGAGCGTTCTCTATTCAGTTACTGCTATACTTTTTGTACACCTTTATACAACTATCTGGTCAAAAATAAAAACAGTACTTTTACCCTCTACGTAAGTTTTCTGTAGTCTGTCTCTAAAAGCCTAAGTAGGTAATCAGTTTTAGTTCATTAAAACTTGTGAAGGCTGTAAAACACACCAGCACAGGAATGCACATTACATACATATATGGTCATCTGGAGTAGACATTTAATTATGCTTAAACCATGTAAGCTCTTCACAGCTAAGGAAACAAAAAAAAAAAGTTCCAGAGGTACAGAACTATATTAGCAGTGCTCTGGGGGATCATGCAAAAGGACAAGTTCAAGGCCTGTCTGGGCTACAGAGTTGAGTTCAGAGAAAGCATGGCAACTTAATAAAATCCTGTCTCAAAATAAAAAAAATGAAAAGGGGTTCAAAATACACTTTAGTTGCGCAGTATTTCTTCAGGACGTGAGAGACCCTAGGTTCGAACACCAGTGTTAAAAAGGAAAGCTACTTATAAAGCTCCTGGACATGAGAGAAGGGCACATATCTGAAAGCACCCTCCAATTCTTCTGAACTTAAGGAAAGAGGCTACTGAGAGATGGAAACTACGGAAAGATTCACAGAGGAACAGAGTGATCAGTTCTCCCTCCTCACCTCATCAGGATCCTGGCAGGATGTGGACGTGTGCATGTGTGCGTGTGCGTGTGTGTGTGTGTTGGGAGAAGTCAAATGGAGTATGGGGAGTGACAATCATTGCTTCATTGCTTAGAGCTTCACCAAGAATCTAGGTTTTAGTTGTGTTCCCCCAAAATCACACAATAAAATATAGTAAACTGTATTTGCAATACACTAAGCAGAAGATTAAAAATGGCAAAAGAGTAAAGATAAATCTGTGAGTGGGCTATGGCTGGTAATGTAGGCCTATAATCCTAGCTACTGAGGCCACGACAGAAGGATCACAAGTTCAAAGCCTACATGGGCCACAGAGCAAGTTCAAGGCCAGCCTGATAGACATGGCAAAAGCCTGTCTCAAAATAAAGAGAAGGCTAGGAATCAAGCCCAATGGTAAAGTGCTTGCCCACCATGTCTAAAGCCCAAGGCTCAGTCCCAGCATAGCAACAATAAGCTGTGAGTATCGGGAGCATGAGGAGAAAGGAAGAGACTGGAACTGTGAGTAAAATGAACAAAGAAACTGATGCTTTGTGCTTAAGTCCCTTAAAGGTCATGAGTTGAATGGCCTCCAGCTTGTGGTGTTACTGCAAGATGACAGGACCTTGGGGGATAGGGTATAAGGGTGGGGAAGTCAGATCACTGATCTTGAAGGAGATTCTGGGATTCTGGCTCCTTTCTCTTTTTGTTTCCCAGATACCGTCGTCAAATGAGTAGCTCTGCTCTGGCACACACCGCCACAATAGTCTACATTGTGACAGGCCCGCAATGATGGGCCAGTGACAGCACGCTGTACCAACATAATATTTTCTCGTAAGTTGATTTTCTCGGGTATCCTGTCACAACAATAGAGAGCTGACTGACACTTTCTGGCTTATTTCAAATATGTGTTGAACTATTCTAAATAATCTGCACTTAGCTTTTGGCATAAAATTCGCCACAAAACAATGCAAAAGTTTCTGGCATACCTTGAAATTTTTGTACACAGGTTAGAGATCAACATAACATCATTAGTAGTTAATACAAACTAAATAACAGAATACTACTGGCAGTAACTGTCATAAAACTTAAGTTCTTTCAACCTTAAGAGCCAAGTCACTGGGGAATTCCTCCTTGAATTCAAAGGATGTGCTGTAGCATTTCCTAACCTCTTTGTACTATAAGAGCTGTTAACTTTCATCAAATTCCACAGATTCTTAGCTATAACCTCCCCTAAAAATTAGTCAGACTTGATTTTGTAAAGAAACAGTGAGCTAATAAAAATGAGTGTTTACCCAACTTTACCACGAAGAATTTCAAACACGTGCCAAAGTGTAAACCACAGTATTATGAAACCCATGTACTCACAAAAGCCTCAACTATCCTGCACAGAGGCCTAGTCTTTTTTCATTCCCCATTATCTCTCTAATTTTGAAGCAAATCCCTTATTTCAAACCATGTACAGACATTTACTATCTCCTGAAGCTTTAGCTCTAAAGCTATGATTAAAAACATCCCCACTATATCAGTATCACACCTAAAAACTAGACTTTGGGACTAGTTAATTCCAGTGTGTGCTATTTATTTATTTGTAGTTTCTTAAAAATTGTTATTCTATGTGTATGAGTGTTTTGCAAGTATGTATGCCTGTGTTATGCCTGTGTACCTGGTGCCCCCCGTGGTCAGAAGAGGATGCTGAAGCTGGAGTTATGGACAGCTGTGACATACACAGCTCTGAGATGCTATGTGAGTGCCGGGAAGAGCATCTGGGACCTCTTCAAGCAACTTAAGTCAGTGCTCTTAACAGCTGAGCTATCTTTCCAGAGCACATTTTTTAGTAATAAAATTTATTTAACAATTTTAAGTGCCTAAAATTTATCATCAAACCACAGAATATTTATAGAGCATCTATCTCTATGGGCACTCTAAGGTTCTATATAACTTATTGAACAAGTACAGAAGCATCCCTTGACCTTACATCAAGTACAGTTCAAGAAAATAGGCAGAAGTGTCATATGCTGGCTGGAGCTAGTCGCTTTAGAACTGAAATAATGTGAGCAAATGTCTACTGACCCAAGAGTGACCTAGGCGGCCCCAGGAAAACACACTGTACAGGTCATCCTCAGCAGTGGCTGCTGAAGAGCAGCCAGAGCCCTTGATGGAAACCAGGAAGAGGCAGAGTCATGTAAACTATCAGCTGAGTGTTTCCAGTGAGATGAGAAGCAGAACAGGAAATGCAATCTGGGGAAGGAGACGGGTTGGGAACATGAATCTGCCCAAAGTAAAAACTGGAACCTGGTGGGTTACAGCCATTCCGGATAAAGCATTTATTTTAAATGAATCGTGGGGAACCTGTTGCTCAAACTCAAAGTCCTCAGTTAATCGGGATTTATGAGTACCTGGCCTGTTCTACCCTGGGACTATTGTCATAGTGTCCATCCAGCTAAGCCCACTTGCTGTATAGCTTCTAACACCATGAGTATACAACAGAAAGACATGTAGATTTGGAGAATGTGAACTTAGTTCCATTTTATAACAAGGAAATAGTTAAAAATGATAGCAAGTCAAAATTTAGAACTTCCTGGAATGTTTAGTGTTTAAGAAAGAACTACAACTCTAACCCTGAGCAATAAAGTAGAAACTGGTATTTGAGCATTGGAAATTATTTGTCCTTTTCTGATCTAGAAATATTTCATATTTGGACTAAGTGATTTAGACCTAACATGGCCTGATGAATCACAGACTACACAGCAACATAACCCTACAGCTGAGCTGCCTCAAATAAACCACAGTGCTATTTCTGCCATGGCCAGTGACACTGGGTTGGTATCCTTACCTTTTACCACATCAGCGACATTACAGGTGGGATCAATACTCCCTATGTGTTTAGGATGAGCAGGATTAGTGTCACCGCCAAACAGAAGTGCTAAATGAACACAAAAGAGAAGAAAGGGGATTGAAGCATGGCAAGCTGGGGTGCTCAGGCACAGAAAGAAATTCCAATTCTCTAAAAGGATCTTTAATTTTAAGAATCATTTTAGCATCCACAATGACTTAGAGCAATGTAAAACAGCTGATGGGTGAGCAAATACATCAGCCAAAAAGTCCATCAGTTGCAGTCAGTAGACCGACCCTAAAGCAGCAGCGCATGTCCGGTGTCTAATCCTTTCTCCCTCAGCTGGTGGAAACTAGATCAAGACATTTCCATGCTCGGCAGCTAATCTCCCTGCTCAAGACTACTGCAGTCATTTGTCCAAATCATTAAATATTCACAACATGCAGTTTGGGCCATTTGTGAAGAACCTTCACTGGCAACACTGCAAATGCCTCCATCCTGGAGGTTCTTTTTCAATTCTGTGTACACAAATAACATTGTTAGAAAAATACTTTATTTTACTCTACACAACAGTTGCAAACTTTTATTCCTAAATAAAAACCTTAAGAACCTGAAAACAAAAAAAGGAACTCAAGCCAAATTTTTATAGGTATACTTTATATTAAATTATTCAACACTTGGAAAACAGCCACTGGCTCAGTACATTAGCTGGCTAGTATTTAGGTTCCTTTTTTCTATAAACTGTCATATAGTTTGTTTCTAAAAACGCATAAATACATACTTAAGAGTTCCATTAAATTTGTCTATCTAAATAAATCAAATGAGTTTTAAAAACCAAAAAAAAAAAAATAAGCAAACAAAACATGCTTTGTCCATGCTCTGATTCAGCGAGGATGACTCCAAATACGTGGATGCTTTTTCCTTAGAATTAAAAAAAAAAAAATGAACCAAGGTGACAACACTAGAAATCAATCAAGAAGTTCTTTGTGTTAAGAAGAATTTAGATTAGAGCCCTGTCTAGTAGCATGGGGAACAGACTAAAGCTCTCAGCATGGCATCACGGACTGATAACCATGCTTCCTTGGATTTTTCCTACCACAGCGGAAAAAAGGAATTGTTTATATACCCAACATGCCATTCAACAGTCACAGTTTTGATGGTTTTAAAACTAAAAAAGAAAATGCATGTACGGATTAAGAAAAAAATACTACCAGGTACATCAAATTATGGAGAAATAAACATGGCTGTCATTAAAACCAGTCCTTTGCCTCCACAGCAAAGCAGCAGCAGAGCCCGAGAGAGAGGCAGTGCTCCTGCCTCTAATGTAAGCATCAGAGATGTCTTCCAAGGACAGCTCTGAATTAAGAACACTGATTAACAGATGTTTACAATAGGAAGGATTCACTTATGAAAAACTGAACTAGAAATGAGATTTCTACAGTCAAAAGTCTAAATCAGTAGATTAAAAGTGAAGCAAAACCAAGACTTTTCAGAAAAATCAATTTGGTTACCTTCTTAAAGCTGGACCCAACATAACCCAACTTACTGTGTTGGTTAATAAGCATGCGGAAAGAAATTCGGTTGGTATAAAAACGATCCAGGAAATATTGGATGTTACTGCTAATAAATGGATCAAAACCAAACTTTTCCTTGTACTCAATCACGCCTTGGGCCATGGTAGGAACAACATCGTTGTGTCTGTTTCTGATGTTAATCAAAACGTGGAGAAAGCTGTGTGGGAAGGAAACACAAAGTGGTAAGTCTGGATTTCCCAGGCCGAACACATTTCCTACCTCTGTCTAGTTACCTTCCGGTATTCCTTATAACTATAAACATTATGTTTACTAGATAGTAAAGGAAGTAGTCAAAATATTAAAACCTAACCCAAGCTTTGGTTTGAAACTTACTACCAAAATTCCTTTAGAGCTACACAAAGTAGTCTAGTCAAGTTTAAAAATAAGTTGAAATAATTTCTTAGGAATGCACTTACATTTTGGAGTTCTCTAAATATTTTTTGACTAAAGAATTACAGAATATATCAATGTTTCTTCTAAGGGTTAGAAATGGAATCTTAAAGCAAGAGCTTCTTCTCTGAATAAAGAATGCCAAACATTTTATAGCAAAAATTTGAAATAATCTCCTTCCAGTAGTAAAGCATGTTAAAATGTAGATATAAAACCTCAATGATAATAAACTTATTTGCTGGGAGCAGTGGCACATAGCCACCATTCCAGAGACTCAGGAGGCGGAAGCAGGAGGTTTAAAACTAGCCTAGACAATATAGGAAGACACCCATCTCAAAATCAAACACACCAATCATTTTCAAGTATTCTGGCACATTATTGTCAAGATATATAGGAAAAGGGCTGAAGAGATGGCGTGGTAGTCAGCACTGGCTGCTTTTCCAGAGGAACTGGTTTACATATTGTGTTGGCTTGAATAAAAATGGCCCCCAAAGACTCATATTTCAATGCTTAGGGAGTGGTACTACTAGGAGATGTGCCTTGCTGGAGAAGTGTGTCACTGGGGGCTTTAGGGTTTCAGATGCTCATGTCAGGCCCAGTGTCTCTCTCTTTTCCTGCTGCTGCCTGTAGACCCAGATGAAGATCTTTCAGCTCCTTCTCCAGCACCATGTCTGCCTGCATGCCGTCATGCTTCCTCCCATGATAATAATGGACTAGACCTCTGAAACTCTAAGCAAATGCCAACTAAATGTTTTCCTCTCTAAGAGTTGCTGCGGTAATGGTGAAATTCACAGCAGACACACACTGGCTCACAACCATTTTTAAGTCCAGTCCCGGGGAGTAACACCCTGTTCTGGACTCCACGGGCACCAGACACTCATGTGGTACACATTTTGTAGACAAAACACCCATACAAATAAAATTAAAAATAAAAACTTTAAAAACACGTATAAAATATGAAATACCACGACTTTAAGGACAGGAAAATAAGTCAAGCAATGACATCAGGCTCTAAGGCTGAGTGAGTAGCTGTGCACCAGAATTTAGCATATTAAGAATATAACAATGTGGGGTCTAGGGAGATAGCTCAGCAGTTAAAGAGCATTGATGGCTCTTCCAGAGGATCCGAGTTCGATTCCCAGCACCCACATGGCAGCTCACAACTGTGTGTGGCTCCAGTTCCAGGGGATCTGACACCCTCACACAGATATGCATGCAGAGAAAAACATCAATGCACAAGGAATAAGAATAAATTTTTAAAAAGAATGTAACAATGTAACTCAGTAAGGAAATGATTAAACTGATTAGGTCAGAGGGCTAATCATACACCAATTTCAAGTCATAAACTTAAGAGTAAGACTGGGGAGATGGCTTAGGAACAATGTGATGAGAACCTGTACCCACATGAAAGCCAGGTGTGGCAGCATATCTCAGTAACCCAACAGCCAGAGGAGTAGAGAAAGGTGGATTCCAGGGCATTGCTGGCTAGTCTAGTCAAAACATCAAATTCCTGTTCAGTGAGAGAGCCTGTCTGGAAAAATGAGGTGAGCATGATCAAGGAAGACACTTGATGCCAACCTCTGATCACCACATGAAAATGCACACATACACATGTATATGCATAAACCATACACAAAAATTAATTTTTAAAGATAAAAATGTTGAGTGAAATCATAAACAATAAAGAAAATCCACTGAATCAAGTATGCAGCTGAAATGGAGAGGGCTGTTCTAAGCTTATTAGGAACAGGAGAAACTCATGACACAAAGAACAGAGATGACTGAATTTCAGAAGCACGTGGGTGAATGAAGAACCACAAGAGTCCTCAGACTTGGCGAAGATGAACATCTTACTGAGAAACTAAGAAAAGGGTCTGTATTAGTGGGGAAGTCTAGGAAAAAGCAAGCACAAATGCCAATCAATTTTCTGGCACAAAAGCAAAGTAAAATAACACAGTGTGAAACTGTTCTTTATTAGGATGGCAAATAATAAGCAGTGTAGGTTGCGTGTGGGTGCTAAATGGAACATTTTCTAAGGGCAACTTAACCAAATATAGCTCAGGTCCAAAGACACTAATTCCACTTCCAGGATCAAGGCTGGAGAAACAGCTGAACAACGTCAATAGTTGTTTTCAAAAACTGCTTTCACACACATGCATGCATACTCATACATAGAGAACAGGAGTGGGGGAGACATGAGAGAAAGAAAACAAAAGCTGTTTGGAGAGATGCTGTTTGAGCCAGCAAGATGACTCAGGGGATAATTGCACTTGCTGCTTAAGCCCGGTGACCTGAGTTTGGATCCCTAGAACCCATAGAAAAGAAAGGCAAAAACTAACACCCAAGCCTATCCTCTGATCTATATGCATAAGATGACAAACACCTATGCACATGTATCATATACTCATACATACAAACAAATAATTTTTAAAAACTACAAACCAGTCTAAAATTCAATACTAGTGGGGCAAATTACATGACTTATAAGTAGAAGAATTAATAATATATGCTGGGCAGTGGTGGTGCACGCCTTTAATCCCAGCACTCAGAAGGCAGAGACAGGCGGATCTCTGAGTTCTGAGACCAGTCTGGTGTGAGTTCCAGGACAGCCAGGACTGCTACACAGAAATAAAAACCCTGTCTCAAAATGCCAAGTGTGTGTGTGTGAGTGTATATATAAGTGACAACTACGTGTTACATCATAACAATGACAGACTCTGTACACAGCAGTGTCCCCAAAAGACTATGTCCCCTGGTAAGGCTGCAGTCATCTTAAGTTTGTACGAGAATACTCCACAGTGTTCACACAAATTTCTCATGATGCATTTCTCGAAAGGTATCGGTCATTAAGAGATGCATGATTATATTGTGAAACTATTAATAATGGCCAAGAACTATTACAGATACTTATTTTTATAAAATTTGCCAAGTGGTGGTGGCACATGATTATTTCCCAGCACTCGGGAGGCAGAGGCAGGTATAACTCTGTGAATTGGAGGCCAGCCTGGTCTACAGAGTGAATTCCAGGACAGCCAGGGCTACACAGAGAAATCTTATCTTCAAAAACCAAAACAAATAAACAAACAAAAACAAAAAACCCTAGACTCATGCATTATGAATGTTTAGGGTAAATGAGGGTATAAGAAAATGTTAGGTGCGGTTGTCCACTAGTAATGGAAACTTGGGATAAGTGTTTTACTTAAGTCTTATTTTTATCTCAATGAAATATTTCTGTAACAAATATATACATACAATGACAGCAAAGATGAAAAACTCTAAATTAAAAGTTCACAATTAGCCAGGCTTGGTGGCACACATCTTTCTTCTCAGCACTCAGGAAGCATAAAAAAAGGCAAATCTCTGAGTGCAAAACCAACCTGATCACTGCAACAGTGAGACCCTGTCTCAAAAACAAAACAAAAAAAGCCCAAGTTCACAATTATTCACAAAAAATTTTACAATGGATAATTTTTCCTTAAGTACCTCCTTCCAATGTATTTATAAATTAAGTATCTGTAAAATGAAATAATGCTTTAGAGTGCAGAAACGTCTTTGCTTGCAGAGGCTTATTTTAGCAGATTCTCAGAACACCTCCCTACCCACATGGGTTTTTCTATATCCCTCATGATGATCAATGTGATTTACATAGATGACCCCCCAGCTGAACAGGAAGGCTGTCACCAGGACACTAGCTCACCGTTCACCTCTTCCTTTACTAACGCATGGGGCTTCTCAAGTCTCAACTTTCCAAACTAGTTGCATAAAGCCTTTAAGTTCTCAAAACTCACCGAGTAAGAACTACTGCCATGAAGATCTAGCACATGCTGGATTCAGTATAATCCATTTCCAGAAATTGTCACTGATGGGAATTTTGTTACAGAGACAGGACTCCAGAAAAACCACAGCAACAAATAATTGTGTACTTCTCCAAATCTGTATCTTCAAATATAGAGCTAGAGGCTAGCTTCACTTTGAGGAGTTCAAAATGTCCCCAACTAATGATTTAAAGAAACAAAGTTCCTGGATTCAATCCATTTAATGTCAATGCCTTAAGTGACAACAGTGACTAGAAGCAAGGAAGCAACTGTGGCTCTCACCCAATGCTTGCACTTTTCATATTTCCCAGATCCATAAGAGAAAATACAACTGAACCTGAGCTTCTCCTGGCTGGAAGCAGCCATTTGGCAGTACGGTATAATGCAAAGAACCAGAACACTAAGGAAAAGAAACCATGACTCATAGGTGCTCTGCTATGCGGTGTCACAACCTTGAGAACATTCTTCGAGCTTCTGACCTCCATAGTTCCTCCTTTGTGAATTCACAGCTGGGTGGGAAAATGCTCCAAGGTTGTTTGTGTAGTATCATACTTCCCTAATTCTTTCATGGAACACTCCGAGTCAAGTGTTTATCTCACAATTATATGGATTAAGTCTATACTTACAATTAAAGTTAGTTCTCGACACAACAGACTATCATGAGCATTCATTTTTTTTATACCCAAAGCGGAGAAATTAGGGTGGAGAGAATTTTCTTGGGGAAACACCCCCACTCACAGCTATGTTTTGCTGGAGAACAAAAATGGAAAATAGAAATACTTTCCAGTAACATGAAAATTCAGCAATTTCTACATTGTGATAGCAATTTGATTTTTGTATAAACACCACACACACACACAAACACACACTTTTATGCTTCTCTAAAAGAAAATCACTATGGTTTTCTAAGATCAACTATAATACTCCATTGGAAAATATGTTTTAGGTCATGGATATATGGAGGCTACTGCATTCTTAAAACTACCACTAGATGGAACATTCACTACAATGCTTATATTAAGCTGATGTCCAGTTCACCCTGACTAAATATATTAAATATTATGTCATGCAGTACTAAATGAAGTTTCATTATTCTTTGTGTGCTGTACTAAATTCTTAAATTAAAAAAAATTCAATAATGTCACTGTCCACAAAAAAAAAAATTAAAACTTTGGTCTGAATTCTATTTTTTTGTGTTCTCGTGGTATGGGAAGTCTTTCTGTCTATCTGTTGCTTTTATTGGTTAATGAATAAAGACGCTGCTTTCGGCCAGTGGCTTAACAGAACATAGCCAGGCTGGAAGAGATATATATATACAGACAGAGTAGGTGGAGTCAGAGAGAAGCCTTGTAGCCACCAAAGGGAAAGACACGAGCTGCCAGTTGGAACCTTGCTGGTAGGCCACGAGCCTCGTGGTAAAATATAAAATAGTGGAAATGGGTTAATTCTACATGTAAGAGCTAGCTAGCGACACCGTTAAGTGATTGGGCAAGAGTGATTTAAATAATACGATTTCTGAGTGATTATTTCTAGTCAGGGTGGTTGGGAAACGAACGAACGGCCTCCTACAACATTCTCAGATGTGTGTGTAGTATGTGTGCATGTTACATGAGTACATAATTCTCACACACATATATATGGAGGCCAGGTAGTCTTCCTTATTCGCTCTCTTCCATTATTTGTCAAAACAGGGTCTCTCTGAACCTAGAACTCGCTTATTTAGGTAGTTTAGCTAGGTAGCTAAACTTAAGAGCTCACATTTTGTAGCAGTTTAGCTCCCAGCTTCCCCGGGGACTCCCGAGTACTAGGATTACAGGCAGGTTGCCATACCTGCCCAATGTCCATCTGACTACTGCAGATCCAAATTCAGGTCCTCACTTATGCACGTTATGTTAAGCAGTTTAACAAATGAGCCATCTCCCCAGCCATGAGTTACAATTCTTGAGACCCAATAACATGGGTTCCATTTATGAAAATATTCTTTTGCCTAGATATTTTTACTTTCACATAAATTGTATCATACTTACTTATCTAAAACCCGTGGGTCTTCTGGGCTCTTGTTTTCATATTCTAAAAGTTCAAGGAAGCTCTGCATGTACCTAAAAAAGGAAAAGCACCATTAGCTGCCTGCCTAACATCCTTTCCCTTTTATAAGAGTATCCCAAGTTTTCATTCAGGTTTTACCCATTCCCATACACAGCTCAAGTACTTCAGGCTAACTTGAGTCCCCCAAAGCATGCAGGTAGCTCCATCTTTCTCTGGGAGTTCCGTTTTCTCTTGTCAGGAATTACTCATCAGTCCCATGGTCCTATGATTTAGGTGCATCCCTGAACACATGGACTGAGTTAGGAATAGGTCCTAAAGCTTCCAGTCAGGCTGAAAGAAGTACACAGAAGGCTTGCTGGAGGTCTCTGACGAAGAAACTGACTTCTCTGCTCCTGTACAGTGTGCTATACGAACAGGAAATCTGCAACTGCTGAAGGCAGTATGCCACCTAGAAGGAAGCTCATCTGAAAATAAAGCCAACACTATAAAAACAGATTTAATAGCTTCATGGTTTCTAATTCAACTAACAAGAAAAGCTCATCCTCTGACTGGCCCTTGAAGCTGTACAAGCCAGGTTCAGCAGTATTGTCTGCTATTATAAATGCATCCTAACTCCAGTGTACAGTTTGGTTACTCAAAAAGTACATATAGTTTTTAAAATTTATTTATTTTTTTATTTTGTGAGAATTGGTGTTTTGCCTGCATGGATATCTGTGTGAGGGTGTCAGATCTTGGAGTAACAGACAGTTGTGAGCTGCCATGTGGGTGCTGGGAATTGGAAGAACAGTCAGTGTTCTTAACTGCTGAGCCATCTCTCTAGGCCCTCAAAATAATTTTTTTTAAGACAGGGTCTCACTGTGTAGCCTTGGCTGACCTAGAACTTGCTATTTAGACAAGATTGACCTTGACCTCATAGAAATACACCTGCTAACTGCCTTCTGGATTCAGGAATTAAAGGCCTGCACCACCACACCTGGCAAAAAGAACATGAAATTTTAGTAAATGCCTCAGTTTGATCCTGAAGTGTAGACCAAGAATAAAGAAGGCTCCTTCTCTGAGTAAAATTAACTTCATCAATATGTATTAGAGAAATGCATGTTAGGCCCTCAGGAAAAAATTCTGGATTGATCTTGGTATTTCTCAATAAGAGCCAATACAAAAAAAGTGTACAGCATTATAATTCTTGAGTCTTAATAACATGTGCCACATATGAGCAAAGCTAGGCAAGCTCTAGCCCTTTCCAAAGGGAACAATCCTTCAGAGAGGAAAGTTACAAATGCAAAAGGAGCCAAGATTCCAGTAAGAGTCACAGCATGAAAGGAAGTGGGAAGACTACAGGGTAGCTGAGGGGACAGTGGCAGAGTTGCTGCTCCACATAAAGCCAATGCCAGAAACACACAAATACATGATCCTAAACTGGATTCTTACATCAAGACAGCATTTAAAAAACAGGAGCATTATTAAGATAACTACTAAAATAATTACAAGTGTTACCTATTAGGAAGTATTGCTATATCAATGATAATCTTCTAGATGTGACAATTATATCACGGTTGTCTACGAGTTATGACCAGAGATACATGTTAAAGTATTTGGGGACAAAGGAACATAATGGCAACTTCAATCCAATGTTCCAGGAACAGTAATGAATGTTTGTGTGATGTCAATCTAAAAAAGGGACAATCTGAAAGAATTTCACAAAAACACTGATATTTGGGAAGAGCATTCCAATGAGAAATCACACACTACAGGAGTCATGGGTATGTTCAAATGGCACCTCCTTGGAGACTCCTTCCTTGACTACACTTCTAAAATCCCTCCTATGTTGACCTGCTTCTTTTCCCACTCTCTTTCCCAGCTTCCCCTTTCTTCTGTAATGGCACACTGTTAAATACGGATGTTATTTTATTCATCTTGCTTCCTCTTTAATACCTAAGGCACAGCAATACATGATAGAAAAAAGAAAAACTGTCCGGACAAGAGGACTTTTAAAGAAAAAATGGTCACATCAGATATTTGGAAACAGTAACTGTTGGTTCTAATCTTTAATAAGAAGGATGGAATGTACTGGAGGCTGAACAGTTGCTGCCCAGATGGCCTTCAGAAGAACTATCTTTATAAGGCTGCAGGGGCCTCTGTACTAGTCACTAACAGGCAACCATGCAAAAGAAATCTTCCTTAGTTCTAGCAACTCCATTTTCATCCTGACAACTTTCACATTTCTTTTATGCATGTGTCTCATATACAGACATACACATGCACAAATGTAATCATATCTCTCCTCCCATTCAAGGTAGGAAAGAGAACATAAACATGAATTATGAAAGAGAAAATATAACCAAATGTTATCAGTGAAGCTGGATAAAGGTATATGGCAAGTAGGAAATTATTTTTCAAAACAGAATATGTAAGAACAAAAAGAAATGGCATGCAGATAGTCTTAAGTAGACATGGGCAATGGGGTACAAAGATTTAACATTTACAAAGTACAAAGTGAAAGTCCTATTTCACTTTGCCAGTATGTGTGTGTATGCATGTATGTATGTGTATGTATCCTTTTGATACATATATTATATCATATCATACATGATATATATTTGGTATATATACATATATTTTATATATACATATTTGATATATATATCAAAAGGAAATTTGGTATTTACTCCTGGCTCCTGATACAGTTTCTAATGACAGGTGTATCTTTTGTTACTCATAAGAAGCATCTATTGCTCACATTTGAGTTATTCTAACGATTTTGCTTAGGGTGGGGACTTTAGACAGTGTCAACACAATCAGAACAATGCTATAAGTGACTGGGGAGCTGTAACTTTTGTTCTAATCCCCAAACTCTGTGGAGGTACAAGGTGTGGAAATGAAACTATAAAAACTCCTGAATTAGGAGGTTCTGAGATCTTTGTGTTGAACACCTGGAGGCGTTCTCCACTTTGAGTTGAGCACACTCAAAGAGGGCATGGATGCTCTATAGCTACAGCAACATTTTGTCTGATATATTTCTACCACTGTTGCTATTTCTGAATTATATCTTTAAAAATCTACCTTTAAATATAAACATAGTGACTTCCTGAGTTCTGTAATCCACTTGAGCAAATTATGAACTTCAGAAAAGGGGCATGGAAACTCAATGTCCAGCCAATTAGTCTAAAGCATAGATAGGGCATCTGAGGTGTAGTATCAGTCTTGGGGAACATAGCCCTTAAAATATGGGCTCTGTGCTGACTTCACTACCTAGTATTGGGATTGAACAGAGTTGCTGCTGTTTGGAAAATTGGTTAATGTTGGAAAACAACTCAGAGACAGTAATTCACTTGGAAGTTCCTGAAGTAACTGCTATATAAACAATGGAAATGATCTAATTGCTATCACTTACTGGATTTACTGGATCAAAGGACTTGACCTTGCCTACCTAGAATCCTCAAGATTGTCCCTGACAATGACTTTTACTTTCTACAGCAATATTTCCAATGATGGTCTTGAAGCAATAAAGAAATCTCACACAAATAACTATTTGTTGCTTCTTCCTTCTAAAACAAGCCATGAGTCCAGAGCACAATGTAACTATGGTATCAAATGCATAGTCATCGTTTCTCTGATCTTTCCCACAACCTAAGGACTATGCACCTCATAGGAGTTTCTGCTTTTCTGGAAAGGAGGCTAGACAGTGAACCTGTAACTGTAAGATCATCTAAAATTGTGGGTAGTGGAGGAAGTTCCTAGTGAACATGTAAGTATCAGATGAAGTCCTGAGAGAATGCATGGTGTTGACATGAGCATGGCCATGTCGAGGACACCAATGCCTCGGACCCATGGGAATGGCAGAGCCATCCCCTGGTCCATATATGGATGTTGACAGTGTGTACAGAAAAATGTCCACTGAAATTTCTTCCTCCCAGATATTTACACCTCAAGACTGCTCCCCTACAGAGATCCCCTACCTAGAACAGCTAAACTTGAGCTAAACTCCTTATTCAGCTCTATACAAGAAATCCACCTCTTCAATTCAGGGATGATGTTGATGCAACTCCATGAGAATGTGTGACTCGACTCTGGCTTTTCTGTATGTGTCTATCATTTTCTTCATTCCTCATCACCTGAGTTAGGTCGATCCCTAGGCCATGCATGGTCAGAGCATAAAATAGTGCTTCTGAGAAGAACTTCACATTCTTGGGAATGCTGTTGAATGTCCATTCTCTATCAGAAGCCAGGCTACCACAAACTCTCTGAATTCAAGCTACTTTTCCATGATGTTCTCCTGCTCCTCTGTACCAGTCAGTTCCACCCACCCATCAAGGAACAGCACAAGACCAAAGCCAGCATTTTCTGCCCCTTTTGTTCTTACAACACTGTTCCTGATTAGCAACGGGTATGCCACCTAGTCCCTACTGTCCTCCTCCTTTCTCCAGACGCTCCCATAATGCTTCTAGCAGAGTAGAGCAAACATGCAAACCTGTCTAAAAACACACCACCTTTTCTTACAGCCTCCCACTCAGTGATCTCACCTAGGGAGGAAAGTCATCACAAACTCCATTCCCTCTGTGAGGGAATGCATGCTTTACAATCAGCGGTACAACTGACTTAACTTGGTTTTAAAAGTTTTTGTATGTGCAGATGCAGCACGGCATGGAACTGATACTATTTCCATGTGAGGTTCCCCTGCAATGATTTGACTGCTCAATCATTTCCTTCACGGAAGATGTTTAAAATAAAAACAAGAGGCAAGGCTGAAACCTACTAAAAGTACAAAACGTCTCCCTATCCAAAGGACAGCAAATGGGTTAGGACTTGCCTAGTGCTCTATTTTGTCAAAGCTGTCCTTCAATCCCTAGTAACTGGGCATGGTGACACACGTGTGTAATCCCAATACTCGGGAGAGAAGAGGATCAAAAATGCAAGGTCACCTAAGCAACAAATTGAATTCAAGGCCAGTCTGGGATCCCTGAGACATTGCCTCACTTTTTAAAATGAAAATAGGTCCACTGATGTCTGGCCACTGCACTGCCATTCCTTTATATTATTCTCTAATTATTTTTTTGGTCTTTAAAACAGGGTTTCTCTATGTAACCACCCTGACTGTCCTGGAACTTGCTTTGTAGAGCAGGCTGGTCTTAAACTCACAGAGATCCACCTGCCCCTGCCTCCCGAGTTCTAGGATTAAAGGTGTGTGTTACCACCACCTGGCTATTCTTTATTTTTTTTTTCAATGAAGCAACCATGTGTATAACAAGAGAAAAAAATTATCTTTTTTTTCAAAGATACTTCGATTATACAGTTTTAAGATGAAACTTTGTTTTTTTTTTTTTGTTTGTTTGTTTGTTTTTAAACAGAGCTTCTCTGTGTAACAGCTCTGGCTTTCCTGGAACTTGTTTTGTAGATCAGGCTGGCCTCTGCCTCCCAAGTATGAGATTGTAAGTGTGCGCCACCACAGCCCAGACAGTTTTTAAATGAATAGTTAGAAGAAAAGCATTTTAATGCAAGGAAAACCCAGCTATCCTGAATGACTCAGTCCCAGAAAGACAGTATGTACACTTCTGTGGAAAATGGTGCCAATGCCAAACTGTTCCAAGCATTGTAGGATGATCAGAACATTTACTTACCAACTCTGAACTAATCCCACTGAAGGGCGGTTCAACAAGTTATCCGGCAAAAGGTTAACCTCTCTCATTGTGTTAGCCAGTCGAACAGGAAGCTCCTTACGCAGAAACATATATGAAGTTTTTTCGCATGCATTATCTCTACCTATTAAGAGATGAAAACAATTCCATAAAATTAACATCCAGAGACATAAGATGTTCTCATGTTAGCAGAATTATTACTGGTCAGGAAAAGAAAATTAAGTAATATAACAATGTCTAGCTAAAATTTTCTTCTCTGAAATAGCAAGTTTAAGGAAACCACTTAATTAGAAGAGAAAAAGAACATTTATTCCAAGGAAAGCGATCTTTTCTTAACACAAATATGTACCTAGTGTTACCAGTCATAATATAAAAGTGACCTGGGATATAATTTGAGTTTGTTTTCAAATAAACACTGTGGGGCAATTGCCAAGTACGGAAACAGTACAACATGTAAATCCACTCCTGTGGTTTGCTGGGCGGCAACATGCTCCATTCATTCTGTAAAGGTTCCTAATGTGTGTCAACCGTTTGGTAAAATTTTTCTTCCAATGTTTCTTTAGGAAACACTCCTCTGCCACCCTGGAAGCAGACACTCTATGATTCCAAGTAAAGGGCTCTAAGCCACAGGACTATTATGTCCCCAAGAAATAGTTTACAATGTACTCCCAGGGCAATGATCCACTATGACAAGTTCAAGAAGGCAAAACACATCATATGGAAGGTCAGTGAGGCAAGGCAGGCATGGCAGTTGAGTAACATGCGACTCCTCCCATGTAGAATAGCAGAAATTGAGAGTAGAACGAGGGCTCCTAGAGGTTGGGGATAGTAGGGATGGAGTGGGATTCCATCAATAGCTACTAAGCTCAAGTTAGAAGAAATAAGTTCTGGTGTAACGCCGCACAATATGGCTAAAAATTGTGCACCACATATTTAAAAAAACTAGAAGGATTTTGAAAGCTGGTCAGGAGAAAAGACCAGATGTTTAAGGAGACAAATACGTCTAAGCTGATGTTAACAATATGCACACTGAACATTATATGCTACTCCATTAATATGATCAATATGCACAGATTATTATATATCAGATAAAAATTAAAAAGTAACAGGGAAGACATGGTCAGGGAATCTTCAGGAGCTGGTTGTGCATTCACATAAACAGGGTAGGGTGAAAGAAAAGGCGTCTGGCCACCTAAAAGAGGAAACCTGTCTTTTCCCTACTGCTTGTGGCCAGAGCAGTCTCCTGAAGTCATTACAAACTTATGGCTGGGGGATAGGTGTGAAATAAAGGATATGAGTTTGGGGGACACAAATACCCTCTGGCCCCAAGTCAGCCATCTTGTGGTTGTGAAACATTTGCTGAGCTTTACCATGCTGCTGAACTTCAGCTGTCCGAATCTGTAAAGCAGGGCTCAGACTTTATAAAGGCAACATATAATAACACATAACCCTGGTCCTCCGCTCTGTATACTTACGAGTCTATCCCATCTCCCTGGCACTGCTGGGCCTCCTCGATGCTCCACACTCTGTGGAAGCTGTTTTGGAATGAACCAGGCTAATCCCCTATATAAAAAGGCAGCACCCGAGGGGCTCCACACACAATATTTTCTTTTCTTTTTCTTTTTTTGTGGTTTTTTAAAACAGGGCTTCTCTGTGTAACAGTCCTGCTTGTCGTGGAATATGCTCTGTAGACCACACTGGCCTCGAACTAAGAGGCCCATGTGCCTCTGCCTCCCAAGTGCTGAAATTAAAGGTATGAATCACCACTGCCTGGCCACACAGTATTTTCCAATCCTTTCCCCCACTTTCTAGTTTCTCCCTTTCCTTTCTACAAAATAAAGCTGGAAACAAACATACCCAACTCTTGAGAGTCATCTGTGGATCTTTCCTTCCTCACCAATCTGAATCCCATTTCCATATTTAAACAGGTTAGAATGAAGATTGGTCTTAAATCATTATTTCCTTCCTTCTAAAGTGCCAATATTGAAGGTCCTTGGTAGGTAAATCTTTAATGGGCAATTCTTTCACTTTCCCCTTAGCACTCTGATACATATGTTAGTCCTAAATACCACCCCCAAATAAGAGGGGAAGGGGTATAATACTCCAGAAATGAACATCCAAATTTCTAGAGGTGAATCTGGTAGTTTTGCTTTAAATATATATTATTCCTATTGATCCATATAACTAATTTTTTTTTGGTTTTTCGAGACAGGGTTTCTCTGTGGTTTTGGAGCCTGTCCTGGAACTAGCTCTTGTAGACCAGGCTGGTTTCGAACTCACTGAGATCCTCCTGCCTCTGCCTCCCAAGTGCTGGGATTAAAGGCGTGCGCCACCACCGCCCGGCCTAACTTTAATTTTAAATGCACTAAAATGCTGATATTGCCATAGTTAATCTCATTGGAGCTATTATCTAAGTTAAAATATAAATCTGGATCTTTACAGCCCAAAAGAAATTAACTCTAGATTCTGGTGAAAAATACATTGAGAAAAGCACTTGTTAAAGTACACAGAAAATATCACTGTGGGCTGACAAAGACCAGCTTTCAATCAAGCTTCTTCTGAAACCTATCTCTCAACAGCCCAGACTCTACACTTTATGCTGACCTGCTTAGAACAGTTGAAATAAGAACCTTGCTATGCCATTTTAGCAAAAATCCTCTGACCTTAATATCTGGCCTTCCTTGGTAATGACTAGATTCCTCACCCCCATTTTAGGTATCTAAATATTCCAGACAGTTCTAAACATGAGTCTAGTTGACCTAGTAAGAATCTCCCCAAACACTGATCCCTGTAGTGATATTTCATTTGGATTTTAATAAATAAAGCTTGCCTGAAGCTCAGAGAATAAAACAGCTGTTCTGATCAGCCTTACAGACCAGGCAGTCAGTAGGGACACACACCTTTAATCCCAGTAGCCATGATAGTTTGCCACAGAAACCGGATGGTAGTGGTGCATGCCTTTAATCCCAGCACTAGAGAATAAAAAACAGGAGGAGTCAGGTCTCACACACAGTCTCATTCCTGGGGGCAGGATCGCCATTTCGGAGCGAGGTAGAGTGTTGGCTGGCTGTTTTGCTTTTCTCACTTTCAGGTTGAACCCCAATTTCTGTCTCTGGGTTTTTATTAACTGTGCTACAAGATCACTCTTAGTGATTTTCTGCCCACTGACCCTTTGCCCACACATACTTCCATACATGGTTCCTGAGCTAGAACTTTCCACTTGTCCATGGTGCCTAGAGCTGAGCCCAATCTTCCCCCTCTACTATAAAACCACTACAAGGAAGACTCTTGAATAACATCAGGGCAGTGAGTATGGCAGCAGGCGGGCAGGCAGATGTGCTCTGGGGCAATAGCTGAGAGCTCACATCTTGATCCATAAACCCACGTCAGAATGAGAGAGCCACTGGGAATAGCATGGACTTTTAAAACTGCAAAGCCTGCCCCCAGTGACACACCACCTCCAGCAAGAGCCATTCTTATTCAAACCACCACACCATCTTTAACGAAGATTACTAAGAATTTCTTAGCAGGGAAAAAAAAGTTCTGAAATGGAGAAGAAGCAAAAGACCCTCGATAAACTGGAACTGGAATTATCAGTATGAACTAAAAACCTAAGGGTTTCAGCAGGGGTAGCTAATAAAAGTTTCCAAGCATAAACTTCCCAGTCTATAGCTGGTTAGAAGTACGGGGTTAGGATGAAGAAATTGCTATAATAATCAAGAGCTAACCAGTAGGTCCATGCCTCGCCTCTGAAACCCATGGGACTAGATGGTTCCAGAATCAAAAGTTCTCCCCAGTTTTCAAAAGAGCACATGCTATACTTGTGCAATAGACATCAAATACTATACAGATACAATACAGCTACAGTGAAATATATGAACATTTACATTAAGTAGAATAAAGTCTATTGTTTTAAGTCAGCCCAAACCATATTCTGTCAAATAAGCTGGGTGCCAAAACTTAAATTTACTTTCAGAAGTTTTGAACCTCATGATTCAGATAAAAGTATATGACTCAACGGGACAGCAGTAAGATCTGGTGCTACAGCCAGATTTTGGTCTGAATCTTTAAGCACTCACAGACTTTTTCACCCTTCTATATCTCATTTTAACCATCCATAAAATCATGGCACCTCCTTCACAGTGGAGACTAGTGTTCAACACTGAGCATAGATATACTCTTAATCTTAGAAGTAGGCTTCATTAATGCCTGGTGATGATCAAGCAGAACATTTTAAAGCCATGGCCAGCAAGGTTAAATTGTCTGTTATTTGTACTATCAGTTCTCAGAGCATGACTGTATTCTAGGCTGATGTGAGCCTCAGGCCATTGGACAACTCCACATCACATTCAAAATCATAAGGATGTGCTCAGTATTCCTACCATTTACGAGTTTAAATTCAAAGTCTTAAATGGTTTACCTGTCAAATCTGTACTATCTAGAAGACTTAACCTTTAGGCACGATCTAAGAGAATCAGTTTCAGCAAGTGTTTGACTCTGGTGGAGCTGGGCTATCCGACTGTTACAAACCCGTAGACTTGTCTTGACATCCCCCATAGCACCTAGCACAACACCTTGCCCATTATAGATTCTCAATGACGCTTTGGAAGATATAATCATGCTTTGAGAGGTTTATATTTTTAATGCAGAATAGCTTAAAAATTCCAAGTTTTCCCTCCTACATTCTAATTTAGCTTCAAGAACAAATTCTTTGTACTTAGCTACCTTAATTATACATCAGCTTAAATAGGAGCATAAGTTTTTTTCGTTAGTTCACTAATTAGTGAACCTAAAAATAAATGTCTGATTTTTACAACTTTTCTGTGGCTTTCCTCATATACGCTAAAGGTATCTTATCCTAGATGTTGAATACTTAGCTTAAATCAAGGGTTCTAGCAACCATTTTTATAATGAATGTATCAAAACCCTTAGTTTTTAATAAGTCTTCTCAAAAGTGTTGTTTTTACATATCTTTCCCAGCTATTCTTTCCAATTATTTGACTCCATCCCTCTCTCTCCCACTTACTTGACTTCTCTACATTCCTTAATTCTTATTTTCTATTTTATTCTACTTTTATCTATATGCTTCCTCTTGTTTGATATTACCAGTTAAATTTTTTCCTA